GCCTTGGTACATGACAGTATTGGTACACAGAGCCTTACAGAGGTGACAAGGTGACACGAGGTCACTAGGGCAGGCTGTCATCCAGCATGACCCACGATGTCTTCCTAAGAAGAGACCAGGGCACAGACAGGCATGGGGGAAGACCGTGGGAGGACAGGGGAGAAGGCAAAGACGGCACGGACCAGCCGCAGGGAGAGGCTTCAGGAGGGATCAATCTGCTGACACTGCCATCCCAGACCTGCAGCCCTCAGAGCTGTGCAAGAGTGCGGTGCTGTTGTTTATGCTGCCCCGTCCGTGGGCTGCGCTGAGGCTGCTGGAGCTGACACACCCCCCAGGCCATGGGGTGCTCTGAAAGAAGGGAGTCCCCCTGGTGGCAGGTGCACCTCGGCTCCCTGTGGGCCACCGATCCACAGCTGGAGCCCTGTCTGGTCACAGGTGCCTGTCACCACTCCCCTGTCTTCTGGTCTAGGACAAATGAGCCAAACGGTCCCTATGCAGCCATCACCACCCCAGGACTCTGGTTTGCAACTATCCCTTTTCCCTCTTCCCCTCAGTCTATCTCCTGGACCCGTGGCCGTGAAGCTGTGAGGAGTTGGAAGAGCATCCCCAAGGAGCCGCCTGCAGTGTGTGTGTTTGAGGGGGAGGGGGTAGGCTGGGCTCCGGCGGATGCAAAGGGACCAGGAGTCAGACGCACCTGGATTCCAACACCGACTCCACCGACTACCGCATGCTGGGGCTGGGGTGGCCAGAGCTATGCCAGAGTCTATATGTATTCCATACACAGTGAGGAGGGGGCTTTCCTGTCCCTCTAGCAAGTCCCTTCCCTCTTGGGCCCCAGCATCCACACAGTAAACCTCACCATTGGGGGGGGGGGTGCATGGCAGATGGCAGGGTAGGGCTAAACACAGAGCCACCGTGGAGACATGGTTAAGTTATGGTCATGCGGACCAGGAGTTCCAGGACCAGAGCTGGTCTCTCCTCACTGCTGGGCAAGGCAGAAGTACGGACATGGGACACAGGTTCCTGAGGACCATGCAGGCCACAGCTCAGGGACACTTGCCCTCCCCCTCTGAGTCCCCCAGTGGGCCCTGGAGGGCCTCGCCTGGCCTCTCCCACCGGCTCCTTGCAGCGGGCCTCAAACAGAAGAGGCAAGAGGTGGGCCCCTTCCAGAAATGGCCCCGTCTCACCTTGGACACTGTGTCCCCCTACCTGTTGGGAGAGGCTGGCTCCCTAGCAGAGACGCTGCCTCTGTGGGGTTCAGCTGCTGCCTGCCCTGAAGTCCCACTGCGCACCTGCCTATCACAGGGGAGCCCACGGTCACCAGGGTGCTCCATTCCCTGCACCATCTACTGCCTCCAGCCCCTTCCTCACCCTCACAGTGCTCTGCCGGGACTGGGGGCGAGAGTCAAAGAGGGGCATACAGCAACCCCCTCCCCAAAAGGGGCACCCAGGCAGGTGCCCAGAACAGGCCCCTGGCGACATCACCCTCTCCAGATGGCACAGTGGTTAGCGCTACAGCTCCACACCCAGACTGGCCCTCAGTGAGCCTGCAGCTGTGGGCAGGGTCTCAGCCCCTCCATGCCCCCGTCTCCCCACACTGCCCTCTCTCAGGGTCCCTGTGAGCCTCAGAAGAGATGGTGCCCATCAAGGCCTTGGCACCACAGCCGGGGCATGGCGACTTCCAGGACCTTCCTCAGCCATGTCGGCAGAACCCTGAGAGGCTGACCAGAGTCCCCACGGACGGGCTGGAGACTCAGGAGGAGACACCACGGGCAGCCCCTCCTCGGCTCTGTCTGAGTGCTCAAATGGATCCCCATTACACAGCCCAGCAAACTGAGGCCCTAAGGAACGGCATCTTGTCAAAGGCCGAATGCTTAGCCGCTGTGCTGAACTGCCACGACAACCGGCAATCAGGTTAAGTGAGTGACCACGTCGTCCCAACTTCACTAAGACAACAGAACTGCTCACTTCCTGCACCAAGCACATACGGCTACCAAGGAAGATCTGGGATCTGGACTCAGGCAGCCCGGCTCTGGAGCGCCCACCCTCACCCGCTGCCCACGGCGCCTTGGGTCAGCCTGCCAGGGCATACAACACCCCATGAGGCCGTCTACCCCCTCCACAATCCCTCCTACAGATGAACAAGAGCTCAGGCCGACTCCCAAACCCCTGCAGTCCTGGGGGTTAGGTGCCCTTGTCTCAGCTAGCATGTGGGGAAACTGAGGCACAGAGACTTGCCCACAACCAGCGAGACAGACACGGGCCTCCCGCTTCCCTCTCATCACTGTCAGTCAGAGGAAATGCTTTCACCTAGAGCCTTCCAGGAGTGCCACAGGCAGCCAGCAAGACTGCTACGCTCTCTCTCTCTCTCTCTCTCTGGTCCCTATGGGGGATGCAGCCCAGGGGCGGGCAGCAGGCTCACCCCAACTGCACGGCTCCCAGCCCATGGCCAGGCCAGGCCAGGGAAGAGGAGAGGAGAACCTGGAGCTGCTCCCCTCCAGGCACACGGCCAGCTTCTCGGCCCGCAGACAGGAGCCCCTCTGTCCCTGGTGACCTTTAACTGGCCCAAAGGTCTCGCCGGCTCCATCCCTCTTGCCCTGGGGAATGGGTCGGAAGGGAGAGGAGGAAGGACCAGGGGGCAGGAGGACGGTCCAGGGCTTCCGGCGCCAGCCCCTCCTCTCGTCTCCTGGCCTCGTCCTGCTCCTTCCTGCCCGCAGCCCCATCCTCCCCGCCTCTACTCCTTCCTGCCCTTCGTTTGTCTGCCTTCTATTTGCCTGGCGCTTTCTGGTTTACTAAACGTTTTTACATTTATCAGCACACAGAATCTGCCCCAGGGAGAGCCGGGAAGACATTAGGAATTCCTCCCAGTTGCCAAGTGCTCTTGGTAAAAACGCACACATCCCCAGAACGGGGAGGAGCGAGGAGCAAGGGGGCCGGCAGCCACCATGCCTCCCAGCTAATCCACCACTGCATCCTCCACGTTCCCCTCAGGCACGGGGGGGGGGGGGGGGGGGGGGG